CACAGACCCCCAAGCTCTCCAAACAACCCAGATTTACCACCTTGACCCACACAGCCTGAAACAGGAGGAATGTTAAAGGCCATCCAGCCCAACCCCCACCAACGCTCTGATGGGGAAACTCTGATGGGGAAACTGAGGCCAGAGAAAGGAAGGGATTTGTCTGAGATTCCTCTATCCCCTGAAAAAAGCAAAAATTCATTCACCTCCTACATTCTGTGAGTGTACCCCCATTCTGCATTTTCATCTGCCAGACACCCAGCCTAGTTGTAATTAACTCCTCCCTTTCTCTAAATTCCTGTATCTATTCAGTTACCCAGTCCCCCACCCAGCCCTAGTCTATTCCTTCCTTCCCATTCTCCCCACCACCTCCCTGCTCCAGCTACTCATTACCTCATGCCTGGAATATAAAAGAAAACTGCGATAACCTCCTCACTGGTTTCCTATATGGAATCTCTCCCTTCCTCCCACCCAGCCATACCATGGTGACCAGATTCATCTGATCAAAATTTGCATATGTTATGATGTCACTCAGGAGCCTATAATGGCTTCCTGATGCCTATAGAGTAAAGGTAAAACACCTTAGCGAAGCATCAGAGATCCCTCAGAGTCTGGTACCAACTGCTTTTCGAGCCTTTTCTCTCACAATCTCATCCCAAACCTTCACTCCAGCTAGAATGTTTACATCATACTGGCCACCAGTTATCATGTATCTGAAACCCACCGATTGACTTTGAGTGCCCCCTAAAATTTCTCAGTCTCCCCTGAAGTAGGAAACCTCTCCCCCATCCTCAGATCTCAGACTCTAGAGCCCTTTCCCAAGGCCAAGACTGCACCTCTCTGACCATATATGGGGGTTCTTCAAAGCAGCAGATAGAGGCTCAGGCTCTGGCTTCCTCCAAGCAGACGGCTGCCCCCGACTGGCCACCTGGGGAAGCACAGCCAGGCTCCAGTCGTCCGGAGCTGAGAATGAACATCTAACCGCCTGGGGAGAGGAATAGAAGGACACCAGATGATAAGGTTTATAAGCCCTTAAGCCTCTAAGGTTCTTACACCCAGAGTAGGGGGAGGGTTCTCAGCCCTGTTTTCCTAGCTGCAGGCTCCCAACTTTCGATCCCTAATCCGAGAGAAACTCCCCTCCTATGAAATACAGATTTGGGAGTCTCAGGATACTGTGGAAGCGAAATTTCCCAACAGACTCTGCGAAGCCAGGAGGCCAGGGATAGTCCAGGTGGCAGGCCCAAGGTCCAGCTGGGGTCAGGTTTCTATATGAATTTTTAATGCTTCCAGACAGACCTGTCAAATGTTCTGAAACCTGAGCATCTCCTTTCATCTCTGTACATGATGCCCTTTTCCAACCCCATTGACCCTGCAGGAGGGCAGGCCTGGGACAGATATTCAGCGGCCTCTGGAGAAACGGTTTGGGGACAGTAGGAGGGTGAATGACCTAGTTATGCTCCCACTAGTAAGCTGTGTGACCTTGGGCAAGTTACTTAACGTCTCTGAACATTAGAGTTTTGTGTTTTTGGTTTTGGTTTGGTTTTTTGGTTTTGTTTGTTTGTTTTGTTTTGCTTTTGTAAGCTGGGGACAATAGTGCCAGCCTAAATCAATTTGTTCTGGGGACTCAGTGCACTAGCCCATGGAAAGGTGACCTACCTGCTTGCTGCGATTATTCTCTTTCCTCAAGTTCTGCCTCCCTCTTCCGGCTTTTCTTCCAACCCCAAAGGTGTCTCTGGCTATTGCTTAGAAGGCAGGAGCTTTGGTTGGTTCTTCTCTCTCCCTTCAGGCCCAAACTCCCCACCTCAAGATCCTTTGGCCTTTGTAGAAACTTCAGGCGAGGAGGTGGCAGGGAGATAAGAAAGTGGGCAAGGCTGGTGGAGTGAGAGAGGAGGATAGACAGCGAAGCCCTAGCAGAGGGGAGGGAAGTGGGCAGTGGAGAGAGGAAGGGAAGACCCTGCTCAGAGAGAGAAGAGCCAGGTGCAGACTCATTCCTTCATCTCTCCTTCCTTCCTTCTTTCCTTCCTTCCCTCCCTCCCTCCCTCCCTCCTTCCTTCCTTTCTTCCTTCCTTCCCTCCTTCCTTCCGTCTGTCCATCTTCTCCACGCCTGGTACCATCACACAGAAGCAGAGAGGACTACACTTGGTGAAAGTTTCAGTTCTCCTCTGTGGAGAGGTGAGCACTGTGGAGGGCTGGGGGCTGTCGAAGGAGACTTGCCCAATCTTTCCAGCCCAACAATCCCTTGCCCAGTGTTTCTACAAAATAGGGGCCTTTTGCATCTGATTTAAGTAGGAAGCTGATTCCTGAGCCCCTCGGATCTGCTGAATCAGATAGCTAACGGGGCCCTGGAATCTGCATTTTAGCAAGTGGAGGTGGGTTATGAAGCATTCCAAAGTTTGAGACAGGCCTCAAAGGTGGAGTGGTCCATGAGGGGCAGACAAAAAAATGCAAACTGGGAAGGGGTCACACTTGGGGAAGGTTTCAGACAATACTGAGTGGAAAGGGTGTTGCCAGGTGTGGGAAATAACAGATGGAGGAGGCAAAGTGAGTGGAGACCAAGCCAGACCGGGGAGGAGGGGGCCACAGCCAAGGTGAGACAGGTCAGCAGCCAGAAACCAAAGCAGACACTTGCAGGGTGCGCCCAGCCCTCTCTTAGTGGCGATCTGAGACCCAGGATGTGGAGACCCTGGAGAGCCCCCCACCTTGTTTCTGGGGCGGGGGTCAGAGAGGAAGCCTTTCATCCCCGGGCACCAGCAGCCCTCCCCGGAGGCTCAACACGCAGATATCTGGATAGGCATCAATCACTCCCCTGGCCAGATCCCACCAACGCTCCTCGAAGTCCGACCTTGTCCCTCCTTCTACCCCACATTCCCCAGTCCTAGCTCATCTGCATAAAGCTCCAATTAACACGTTTTTCCTTTGCTGTTTGCGATCCCAGAAATCCATTCCCACCCTGAGGCCGTTTCCAGCCGCCCCCTCGCCCCTGGGAGGGCGGCCCCATTAACCCTCGCGACCCAGGCCGCTCCCCGCGGTTCTGACCCCACCACCCCGTCCTGCGGTGGGGGGTTGGGGGTGAGGGGCGCGCCCTGGGGCGGAGGATTGCGCGGCAGGGTCTGCCACAGGCCAGAGGCCAGGGATCTCCGGGAAAAAGGCAGGCGCATATCCGCCCCCCTTTCTGGGAAAAGATGGGGAGGGGGGCTTCTCCTGGGAGACTCCGGGCATCGAAATTCCTCGTTCCCTATCCTCCGGCCCCCGCACCCCTCCTCCTCCCCGCCACGCACCCTCTCCCCTCCCCAGCCATCTGTTCCACTCCGCAGCGCCGCGACAAACACGGCTCCAGCTCGCTTCCGCCCCTGCCCAGCCCCCTCCCCAAGCCCCGGGGAGTGGGGGAGTGAGCAGACGCCCTTCTCCTAGGAGGCCGGAATTCCTGCCTCCATTCCCACCGGGGTCCGGCTGGCCAGCGGCAAGCGTCGAGACCCACCACCACCACCACCACCACCGTTGCGAGGGTCGGTGAGGCTGCAGATAACGCTTGCAAGGATAGGGGTCGGGGAGGGTGTAAGGAGAGTTTAAAGGACCAGCAGAGCAAGCACCAGGTAGGTGCTCTGGAGCCCGAGACCCGGGAAGAGGCAGGGGTTTTCCCTCCTGGTTCGCCGCCCCCCGCACCCTCGTCGCCAGCCGCAGCCACGCAGCGCCGCCTGCTGGGCACACCAAGGACCTGGCTCGAACGTGGCGCTTCCCCCTTCTCCCTCCCCCGTCCGCTCCTGGCTCGCGCTCACCCTCCCCAGACTATTCGCAAAGTGAGGATCCCAGACAGACAGTGCAGAGACCCCGGCAAGCCCACTGAAAGCCAGCCGAACCCGCTGGTGGGTGCTGTCCAATTCTGATTTCGTACTTTGCAAAAACAAAAAGAAATCAGTGTTGGAAGTCGGGAGTCTGGGCTCAGAGCAGCAGGGATCTGCGATGTGACTTTGCCAAGTCTCCAGACCCCTGTGGTCAGGTTTGCCTATTTGAAAATAGGGGGGTCGGGCTCTCTTATTAACTTCTCAAGAGAAACAAAGATAAAGGGAGGGAAAATGACTGTATCTGGAATGCTGTCTTACAAAGTCAACCTTTGGAGGTGGAGGGGATGGCCAAGGCCTCTGAGGTCACTCTTGGCCCCAGGAGCAGCTGAGAACTGGAAGCTTGGAACCTCCTTTCTGCAGAGCTGTCCTTTCCACAGACTGCCGAGGTTCCAAATTGAGCTCCACCACCTACCACTGTATGCCCTTGGGTGTGTGCCTTAAACTCTCTGGGCTTGTTTCCTAGAGCGACAAGAATGACAACACCAACCTCTTAGGCTATAGTCTGGATAAAATGAGATAGCTGTGTAGAACAGACAGACCCTAAACCAATGTTAGTTTTCCCTTCATTCGGGGATTTGCTCTAACCTCCAAGGCTTATGTCCCAGGTACACAAGCAGGTGCAGGGCTGGATAAATAAGGTATGTCTTTCTGCAGTATCTTTTGTCCTCACTGATAGTGTCTTCTCTTGATGTAGATAATTTTAAAGCCTCACTTTATTTATTTACTTTAAAGCCTCACTTTAATGTTAAAGGTAAATGTAAATATAGTATAACAAGGAAGCTCAAAATTTGCATAAAGTTTTAAGATAAAATAGGAGACTCCAAAAAAGTTACTTTCGGCAGGCCCTAGGGATGCTATGGTGGGAAAGTTTGAGTCATACCTTAGCATTCTTTCTAAAGCATTCTGTCCTAATCCTCTGTATGGAGAAAAGCCAGCTTCCTGGATGTACCCCAATCCCGGGAAGTACGGGGCAGAATCTGGACTCCCTCCAAGCACTAAGGGCAGGGCATGGTTGGGAACAGGGAGGTGAGCCAGACAGCCAGAGGCAAACAGGCTGGCATGCCAAGTGTCCTACTTAATGCCCAGCTGAGCCTGGGTGAAGAAGGATGGGGGTGTGGGATGACACCCCCCACCCACCACCAAAGACAAGCACACACCAGCCAGTCTCTCACTTCCCTTTTTATTTCCTCTAAGACTTGCAAGAAGCAGCACCAGAGAGGGAACCCGCCCTCCTGCCCCTGGAAGGGGCCGACCCCCAACCCCCAACCCAGGACACAGTCGGCACCTCAGGCCCCTTTCCTTCTGAAAGGAAGGCTGTGTCTCTCTCACATTCTCACACACACAGACACATGCATGTGTGCATACTCATGGCACATGGGACCTTAGGGATAGCCTGTTTGCCAATCCCCCCCAAGAGGCACCAGGAAGCAGACCCCTAGAAAGAGATAAGAGACAGCTCCACATCCTGGTCTCCTCCAACCCAAGGAGGAAGAAGGCTCAACCCCTCCAGGACAGGGACTGTCTTCAGTCAGTGGAGCGTTGCTTTGGGGGACCTTTTTGCAGGGTTTTTTTTTTTTTTTCCTTTTTGCAGTCTTTACAAAAATAGAACTTCTCTTGGTATTTATAAATCCACGGCCATGGCTCTATGTGCATGTTACAGGTAGAAAAGCCATATGAGGCACTCCTTTTGGTTGCTCAGGCCTTGATTGCCTGTCATGCAGGTCCCTTAGTCTCAGAAGTCTATGCAGTCACCTCAGAACCACTAAGCACCTTCAGTGGGCCCATCCCATTGGCAGTGTACTCCTTCCGGAGCCGGGCACGGTAGTAGAAGAGGTAGGAAGGCAACAGGAATCCCAGGAGTGAGAATAGCAGGAGGCCCAGATTCACCTTTAGGGCAAGGAGAGAGAAACAGAGTTAAGTAGGTACTCATCTGCCCTTAGCCTCCCACAGGGAGGAGAAGGTGGCCATTTTTCTCCAGGTGCTGAGCCAGAATAAATACAGCTAGTACTTATGGTGTGTTGTCATTGTTCCACCAGTATCTCACTTAATGTTCAGCAATTCTGCAAAGTGGCTGAGATGAGACTGCTCAGGCCTAACAAGTGGCCTGGTGGGTGCCCACACCCTATGGACCTCTCTGAGTAGGTATGAGGAAGACACAGCACTGTAGGAGTCTGGGCTGGTCAGGCTGCTCCAGGAATGGGGCCTTGTGGGCTCACCACTCTGACCTTTGCAGATGTTAACCAATGGTATCCCGTTCAGGGTGGCAAGAGGAGGGTCTCAGACACTGTTCAAGGAGCTGGGATGTACAGCCTGGCAGACAGAAGGCTTGGAAGGCCCAGGACGCACGGGCTCTGACTCGGTTCACATCCCACTCTGCATTACTCACTTTGTGACTTTGGGCAAATAATGGCAATGCTTACTGAGTGCCTCCTTCTCAGGGCTATTGTGGCAAAGATGTAAGTTAAAAAAAAAGTATGCATCATGCTTAGCACATAACGAGTGCTCAGTAAACAGAAGCGGTTATTTCATCACAATTCTTGTGGGAGGAGGGTTTATGTGTGGGTGGCCCCACAGGGCAGATGCAAGATCAGCATCAGGGAGGCAGATGAGTTCAATGTAAGGAAAAGACTTTCTGACAGCAGCAGGGCTGCCTCATGCAGGAGTGGGTGCTCTACCACTGAAGGTATCTAAGCTAAGAGAGAAGAAGCCCCTTTCAGGGGTGCTGGAGACCGGATCCCACACTAGGTAGAACTGGACTGGACCAATGGTACCTGAACACAGGCCCAAGAGTCAGGACTGGCCACTTCACAAAGTACCTGGAGTTTATTAAATATAGACTTCTAGGAGGCCAGGCACTGTGGCGCACGCCTGTAACCCCAGCACTCTAGGAGGCCAAGGTGAGATCATTTGAGGCCAGGAGTTTAAGACCAGCCTGGGTAACATGGCAAGACCCTGTTTATCTCTACGCAATTTTTTTAAAAAAAATTAGCCAGGTATGGTAGCCATCATCTGTGGTTCCAGCTACTCAGAAGGCTGAGGCTGGAGGATCGCTTTAGCCCAGGGGTCAGAGGCTGCAGTGAGCTGTGATTGTACCACTGCACTTCAGACTGGGCAATAGAGGGAGACACCATCTCTATAAAAAATAACAATAAATTAAAAACAAAAACAGACTCCTAGGGTCAGGCTGAGATATCCTGATTCAGGGGGCTGGGGAATTACACTCTGTGAGGGGTTCTAAAAGGCAGACAACTTGGGAACCTGCAGATTAAAGACCTCTGAGGTGCCTCTGGCTGAGATGAGTGAGGGATGGCACCACATACAAGGCCCTACCCCTGCCCCCAGGAGAGTGGCTCCTGCTCCCCCCATGCCAACCCTTGCTCTCACCCAGAAGGGCTCTCCTTTCAGGGGTCCCACCATCGCCATGAAAAGTGGCTGCTGAAGCAAGGCGAACACAGCACTGATGAGGGACTGCAGGCCTGTCAGCGTCCCAAAGTGGTTGGATGGGAACCTGTCCACGAGATGGGGAGCATCAGGGGTGTGTGGCCCTCTCCAGCCCAGGCTGGCACCTCTCCTATCCCCTCCCCACCATGGTCCCCGTTGGCCAGGCAGGGTGGCGCTTGAGCGTTCAGGCTCTTTGCATGGGCTCTTTGGTCCCCAGCCTTGAGGGTAAATGCTGCAACTTCGGGGCCACAGAGCTGGGTTCTGACACCTCCTGGATGTGTGATATTAGCAAGCGGCTCAACTTTCCTGAGCCCCACTCCTCCACTAATAACAGGGATGGCACTGACCTCGCAGGACTGTCCACTGTATTCTGACAACAAATGTTTAGCTGAGAACCTACTACGTGCCAGGCACTGTTCTAGGTGCTGGAGATATCGCGATCAAGCAAGCCAACAGATTCCTGCCGTCGAGGAGGTGGCATTCCCATGGAGCAGGTGGCAGTGAGACAATAAGCAGGAGAAATGCAGAGTGTTAGACAGTGACAAATGCTAAGGAGAAAAGCCGAGCGGAGAAGGGGACAGTAGGCAGGTTGCAGTTGTACGTGGGACAGCCAAGGGAGGCCTCACTGAGAAGAGGACAGTCAGGGAAAGACCTGAAGGAGAGAAGGTGAGACTGGGCACCTTGCAGATATCTGGAGAAGAATGTTCTAGAAACAGGGAGTAGTACATGCAAAGATGCCAAGCAGAGAACACACTTGAGACTTCCGGAGCGCTAGGAAGCCACTGTGGCTGTGGCAGAGTGAGCAAGGGAGGAGGGGGAGCTGGAGAGGAGGGAAGTGCTGGGGCCAGAGCTTGCAGGGCTTTTTAGGCCATAGTAAAGCCTTTGGCTTTTACTCTGAGACAGATGAGATGGGAGGCCACAGAGTGATGTGAAGAGACTTATGTCCTGACAGGTGACTGCAGCCCCTGTGTTAAAAATAGACTGAGGCAGGGGGGCCAGGGCAGATGTGGGAGACTAAAGGCTGCCACAATAATCTAGGACTGGAGAGGCAGCAGTGGAGGTGACAAGAGGGGTCAGATTTGGGGTGTGTGGGAGCTGCGGCTGGCTGCACCGAGGATGGAGTGAACGTGGAGGGTGGGGGAGCGAAGAATCAAGGAAACTCCAGGCTTCTGGCTTGAGCAGATGAAGGAAACAGAACTGCCCTCTGCCGAGACCGCTGCAGTGAGGCTGAACTCAGGGAGTGGTGGTCCAGGATCCTGCCTACTGCCTACACCAACGGAGCACGTGATAATGGTTCTGATTTTGTCATCATTATTGTAATGTCCTGTTACTCCATCACATACACAGGGGAGAGGCCCTCAGCAGCCAGCAGGGGAAACCAGGAGAGACAGGCAAGTGGGGACTGTCCAACATGTCCCCAGCATGAAGAGGAAAATTATAAGGCAAATGGCTGCCCTTAGGAAATTTCTTCAGGGTGGGCATGGAGGGGAGGCCACTCTGGGGGCCGTTTCAAACAGCCGACTTAGGACTAAAGTGTCATCAAGCCAGGTATTTCAGCTTCCTCTAAGGGAAGACTCCAACAGGGGGAGTCAGTTACAGCGGGATAGGCTGCCTTTAAGGAAGTGAGCTCCCTCCAGCAGAGGGGCTCAGAGAAGGGCGCATTAGGGGATGCCTGGGGCCCTTCCAGCCCTGCCCTGGGGTACTCTGATCACAGTTGCAAAGCTCAGGAAGGCGTTTCAGCCGAACAGACTCACACTGCAGCATAGAGACTCCCACAGGCCGAGTGGAAGAAACCTCGAACAATGGTGTGCAGAACAAAGGTCACAAACTAAAGACAAAAAGAGAGAGTGAAGAGGTTAGGAGAGTGTGTGGAGGCTGGAGGAAGGAGGGGTAGGGCGAAGAAGCCAACTGGGCCTCAATTCCTACCCCCTCGCCAACCCAATCTACTAGAAACACTTCCTGGAGAACCCGGAAAATAGATCCAGATCAGAAGACCAGAACTGTGCTTCCTGAAAAGCAGGTGCTGGGTGGACCATCCCTTTGGAGGCGTCTCAGGGGCAGGGAGAGGGAAGGATGGAGGTAGGTACCTGGAGGTGTAAGTTGTTGATGAGGCAGGTGATGCCAAAACCCACAAGCAGCAGGTTGGTCAGGGTGAAGGCGTTGATGGCATTGGTGAGCTTTTGGATCTTGCAGTAGCGTGGTCTGATGGATTTGGTAGCAACCCCATCCCTGAGGAGAACGGGAAGTCACTGGCTGCTGCCTCTACATTCCCAGGACTCCCTGGTTCTTGGCCTGGCCCCTCCCCCTTCGGATGTGCCTTCGATGTCAGGGAAGCAGAAAACATAGAAATTCATGTTTCTGTGGGAAACCCATAGAAACCCATGTTCTCTAGCTCCACATTTCTCAAAGTTTTGCTCCCCTACCCAATGACATAAGCATCAAAGCGGATGCTTTCTTCACATGCAGATTCACAGGCCTCATCTCAGCCCCTGGAATCTCCGCAGGGAGATCTGCAGATCTGCATTTGGACAAATACCCGCCACGAAGTGATTCTCATGCACACTTGAAGGTTTAAGAACCAAGGATGGGAAGGAAGGTGGAAAGTGGGAAGCTCTCACACCATCTCTCATCGTCTGTCATCAGAAGTCCTCAGGAAGGTGTCCCTGCCCTGGACAAAAGCAGATGTCCTCCTGGGGACAGCAGCTTGGCCCGACTGTCCAGCGCTTCCTCTCTCTGGCACAAACAAGGGCTCTGAGGCCAGCCCAGGAGAGAGGTCAGTAGGCTGGGGTGAGGGCAGGCGGTCCATGTGTCCTGGACAGAAGGACCCTGCTAGAGGACCCTCGCCATGAGGAGCAGAGGGTAGAGGAGGAAGGTCAGTGCCAGGGCCAGGCTCTGTTGGCAGGGAGGGAAGCCACTGGATTTCCTTCTCTCCCAGTCTCTTTCTCCCACCCTCTCAGGATAAATAGGGACTGTTTGGATGAACACAAAAAAAGCAAAAGCAGTCACAGAATCCAGGTTCAAGACTCCATGGTGAACTCCAACTACTCGGGAGGCTGAGGCAGGAGAATCGCTTGAACCTGGGAGGCAGAGGTTGCAGTGAGCTGAGATCGTGCCACTGCACTCCAGCCTGGGTGACAGAGCAAGACTGTGTCTCAAAAACAAAACAAAACCCTCAATGGTGGTCTCCAGCCAACAAGATGGCCCCCAAGGATCCTGCCTCCTGGTATCCCCTGTTTTGTGCGGTCTCCTTCCACAGTATATCAGGGTTACTCTGTGCCTATAATAGAATGCAACAGAAGTGATGGTGTGCTACTTCTGAGATTATGTGAGAGAAGATACTGGGTCTCTGTCACTTAGCCCTCTTGCTCAAGGGGAAACCAGGTGCTGTGTCCTGAGCAGCCCTTTGGAGAGGCCATCGGGGTAACTGAACTGAAATAGATTCTCCAACCCCACTCAACCCTTCAGATGACTGCAGCCCTGGCTGACAGCCTGACTATGTCTTCATGAGAGACTGAGAGTCAGAATCATCCGGCTGAGATGTCTCATACAGAGACTGTATGAGATGAGAAGTGTTTGTTGGTTAAAAATGCCAAGCCTTGGGGTGATTTGTTATACAGCAATAAATATCTAATATACCAAATCTACCTATTCTAGCCCTAACAAGACTTTAGCATGTACCCTTATAACATAGGTTCTGGAGGCTGCCACTGAAAGCTATGTGATTTTGGGTGAATGACTTAAATGTGCAACCCTGTACCTCAGTTTCCTCATCCGCAAAATGGAGATATTAATGCACCTACCTCAGAGAGGTGCTGTAGGACTAAACAAGGCAAGGTGCCGAGTGGTGCACAGTCAGCACGCTGCATTAGCTATTCTTATTATTAAGCAAGCCAGGTCCCTTCCTAGCCTCAGTTTCCTCATTTGTAAAATGGGGAGGTACCTCTGCTCTCTTAGGGTTCTTGGGAGAAAGAAATGAGCTGCTGGATGTAAACGCGCAGAGAAAATGAAGAGCGCTGCCTGACCACTTGCTGTCACCATCCCTGTACAGGCCGGTCACCTGGCATCTCCGAGGACAGTGCCCTGAGTTGGGGCGTCCACGCAGTCCTTGATCCGCCAATCCATGATGTAGCCAATGAGGGGGCAGGTGAGAAGGCACAACAGCTGCATGGCCCCGAAGATGGAGGAGTAGAACCCAACTGGGCAGGATGGGAAGGGCAGTGGGGTCAGGAACTGGCACTCAGTGGACACCACCACCCCTTCTAGCAGAGGCCAGAGAGCACCAAAATAGCCTTCCTCTGAACCCAGACTCTTACATCCCCCAAATGCCCAGGGTTACCTGGGTGGGCCCAGGCCTAGAGGAGTCCCGCCCCCTGAGAAGCGGGTTGCAGCAGGGTGGGCGTGGGCCAGGGCCCTGCTTTCATCGCCCTACCTGTCTCTGCCACCTTTTGTTGCTGCTGTCCATTCATCTCTGTGGACAGGGAAAGGTACGGCGAGGGGAGCTCAGCCAGGGTGACCCTCCTGTGCCCCCAACCCCCAGGGGCCTCAGCGGTGCCTCACCATGCTCCTGGCCTCCAGTCACAAGGTACTCCAGCATCTTGTTCATGGCAGCCATGTAGAAGATGATCCGCAGCTGGGTCATGCCCATGGTGAGGAGGCTCCACAGGAAAATGGGGGAGCAGAGGCTCTTGCGGAAGGGGACAGACCCTGGGGAGACAGCAGGGGGCGCCCCTGAGCCCCAGACCTTCCACTGCCCTCTGTCCCAGCTCATGCAGTTCTTGAGGGGAGTGACACTATGTGACTTTGGAGAGGGACTGGTTTCTTCAAAGACGGGAAAGTTCAGATTCACTTGCCTCCAGGCTCCTGCTCAGCTCAGAACATTTTTAGGTGCCCTCTGGATGTATGTCCTATGCTTCGTGTGGTAAAAATAGTTGAGCGCCATGGCTCAGGCCTGTAATCCCAACACTTTGGGAGGCAGGGGTAGGAGGATCACTTCGCCCAGGAGTTCAAGACCAGCCTGGTGGTCAACATAGCGAGACCCTATCTCTAAAATTAAAAAAAAAGAAAAAAAAAAAGTATATATATATATAATTAGCCAGGCATGGTGGTGCACACCTGTATTCCCAGCTACTCAGGAGGCTGAGGCAGCAGGATCGCTTGAGTCCAGGAGGTCAAGGCTGCAGTGAGCTATGATTCTATCACTGCACTCCAGCCCAGGCAACAGCAAGACCCTGTCTATTTTTACAAAAAACAAAACTGGCAGGGCACGGTGGCTCACACCTGTAATCCCAAAACTTTGGGAGGCTGAGGTAGGAGGATCATGAGATCAGGAGTTTGAGACCAGCCTGGCCAACATGGTAAAACCCCATCTCTACTAAAGATACAGAAATTAGCCAGGCATGGTGGTGCATGCCTGTAGTCCCAGCTATTTGGGAGGCTGAGGCAGGAGAATTGCTTGAACGCAGGAGGTGGAGGTTGCAGTGAGCCAAGATTGTGTGCCTAGGCAACAGAGCGAGGCTTCATCTCAAAAAAAAAAAAAAAAAAAACAGAAACAAAAAAAACTCTGAAGCACTCACTATGGGCTACATACATACTTGACATTTATTATCCTATTTAATCAATCTTACAACAACCCTGTCCTTATCACATTTTACTGATGAGGAAACTGCAGCTCAGAAGTTAAATGACTTGCCCAAGCTCACAGGGCTGGAAGCAGCAGGTCAGCCTAACTCCAGCTCATGCCCTTAGCCATGCCGCCCTCTGAGAATCGGCTCTGGGGGTAACCACTGTCAAACTGCACACCGTTTTGCACTTTACAGAGAGCTTCCACATCCATGGTGTCATTCAGTCATCACAACTAACTTTACAGTTTGTGGGGTGCTTTTAGTGCTAGTTTAAGAGGTAAGGAAGTCAACAGCAAGGTTAGGTGATCTACCCAAGCCACATAGCCTATAACTGGAGAGCAGGACTCAAACCCCTCAACTGACTCCAAGGAGCTCCTTCCACTTATGGAGCTGACAGTCCTGGGATCTTCATGTCCCTCCTGAGCAGCAGCCCAGGCAGGTTGCAGCTCCTCCTGTGACCAGCAGGGGGCAAAAGCCAGCCAGGTGTGGAGGACCCCTGCCAGGAGGCTCGTGGGCCTGGCTGCACCTGATGCAATAAGCTCAGAGGTTGCAAGGGGCCCTGAGGAAACCAGCTACCCGACAGGCCCAGAGACCTTGTCCCTGACAGGCCCCAGAGACCAATCCCCCTTGTACTCCATGGGTACAAGGAGCTCCTCCCTCCCCCATCCCAGGAAACCAGCAGGGTAACCCTGAATCTGAACTGCCCAGAGTTAGTTGAGCTTTGATTTGCCCATCTATAAATGGAGAGCACGCCCCACCTACATCATGGGATGTTGTAAGGACTGAAGAGGGGCGCGAATAAATACTCAAGCACGAGCGCTCCCTGAATATGAGGACCCACCGTCCCTGTTCCCCAAGGCCGGCACCTTGACCAGACACTCACTCTCAGGAGAGTTTTCTGAGGTGCTCCGAACATCCTGGGACGACATGAAGGCATCCGACCCGTCCTCCAGGCTGGGGGCCTTCTGGCTCAGCCTCTGGCCCACAGTGGTCACATGGGTGTAGAAGCGGTCGCCTGTCACCTTGTGGTCCAGGGCCAGCCCACTCAGCTTGATCTTCTTCCTGCAGACAGTCAGGCCAGAGTGTAGGGAACCAGTCACACAGAGCCCACCTTCAACAGCCTAGTGCTCGGCCGCTGTCCCAGCGGTGTCCAGCACCCCTTTACCCGGCACTGACGTGCTTGCAAGCTCCCTAATGCAGAGCTCCTGGTTTGTTGCTCAGAGCTTGGCTCAGGGACCAGCTTAGCACAGATGCCAAGTAAATGAAGAGTGGATCAGCTGTTTTTCACTTGAGCTGTTCCTATGGCGGAGGCGGCATTAAGACCTCAGACTCCAGAGTCAGACAGCCTGTGTCCAACCTAAGATTCACCCTCCTTTGAATGGCATGACCTTTGGAAAGTCACTTCGTTCCCTGCACTTTTGTTATTAATGGAGTTAATACCGAATCTACATCACACAGCTGTTTGAGGATGGGATAGGGGCTAAGTACAGTGCCTGGCATAACTGTCAGCTCTGTAATGTCACCTTATGCGCTTGGTGGGGAACGTCACCTTTTGCCTTGGCTGCACTGATAGGGGGCTGGAAAAAGTTGGTGTTCAGGTGGCCCCACAAAAGGCAGAGTGCTGGATTCGTTTATGTCCCTCTTTGTGGAACCACATGGCATCAAGTGCTATTACTGAGGTACCTCCTACTCTGATCTCCAAACCCAGAAAGCATGAAAACAATATTTTGCCGTTACGTTTTTTTTTTTTTTTTTTTTTTGAGATGGAGGTTTTGCTCTTGTTGCCCAGGCTGGAGTGCAATGGTGTGATCTCAGCTCACCGCAACCTCAGCCTCTAGGGTTCAAGCGATTCTCCTGCCTCAGCCTCCCGACTAGCTGGGATTACAGGCATGCACCACCACGCCCAGTTAATTTTGTATTTTTAGTAGAGATGGTATTTCTCCATGTTGGTCAGGCTGGTCTAGAACTTCCCACCTCAGGTGATCCGCCCTCCTTGGCCTCCCAAAGTGCTGGGATTACAGGCATCAGCCACTGCAACTGGCCCATTACTTTTAATGGCAAAAACCATAATTACTTTTGCACTCATATAAATAGTTACCATAGGCTGGGCATGGTGGCTCACACCTGTAATCCCAGTACTTTGGGAGGCCGAGCCAGGCAGATCACTTGAGGCCAGGAGTTCAAGATCAGCCTGCCCAACATGGTGAAAGCCTGTCTCTACTAAAAAATACAAAAATTAGCCAGGTGTGGTGGCGCGTGCCTGTAATCCTAGCTATTCAGGAGGCTGAAGCAGGAGAATCGCTTGAACTCAGGAGACAGAAGTTGCAGTTCACTGAGATCACACCACTGCACTCCAGCCTGGGTGACAGAGTGAGACTCTGTCAAATAAATAAATAAATAAATAAATAGTTACCATGTTTTGACCACCTGTTATGTACCAACTCTATCACTTAAAAACACCCATGGGAGGCTGGGCACAGTGGCTCACACCTGTAATCTGGCACTTTGGGAGGCCAAGTGGCGAGGATCACTTAAGTCCAGGAGTTCAAAACCATCCTGGGTAACACAGTAAGCCCCGTCTCAAAAAAAAATAAAAAAATTAACTGGGCATGGTGGTATGTGCCTGTAACCCCAGCACCTCGGGAGGCAGAGGGAGAGGTTCGCTTGAGTCCAGCAGTTTGAGGCTGCAGTGAACCAGGACCAAGACATTGCCCTCCAGCCTGAGTGACAGAGCAAGACACTGCCTCTAAAAAGACAAACAAAAGCGACCTGTGGGTAGGTAGGAACAGGCTTACAGTACAGATGAGAAAGCAGAGCTTAGAGGGCTCAAGCAATTTGCCAAGCAGAGGTCCAAGCCGAGGTCTCTCTGAATCCCAAGTTAATTCCATCTATGGTATCACCACACCCCTGCCCACCCTCTCTGCCCCAGGGAGTCTCCGCCCACTCCAGCCACTCACGTGTAATTGACTTCCTCAGGGGCAGGAAAGGCTTCTACGGGCCAGTTGAGGGCGCAGTTCAGAAAGATAAGGCAGGCCAAGCCAGACCAGGTGAACATGATGACCACGAAGGCCACACCGGCATCGTAGATCAGCTGTGAGAGGAGGGGGCAGGCCCGTGGGGGAGACTGCCTGGCCCCAGACCCCACCAAGGTAGATCCCAGGCCTCAGAGGCCTTAAAGAAGGTCTCTTCTCCCCTTGTCCTTGTGCCCAATTTGCAGATGAGGAAACCAAGACCAGAAGTTTAGAGTCAGACTCAGAAGACCCATCATTCCTTTCTTTTTCACTTGAGCTCCCCTAGAGAGCTATGAAGTAGTCTCCACAAAGCCTGAAGCTGCTGGCCACTGGCTCAAAATGTCTCTGAAATTTCCATTATCTTAAAAAGATACATACATTTTTGCCTATGACTCCACAAACATTCATGTTCATGTTCACACAAAAATGTCCACTTCATAGTATGTACAAAGGAAACTTAGAACTCTAGGTTTACCGGGCCTAACTGTGTTTATCCTGCCCCTTCCTGGCACGTTCCCCGGGGGAAAAGGCAAACCCAGACTGCTCATGCTCAGCCTTATCTCACCTTTCCCAGGTGCTCCCAGTGCAGCCACTGTGGGTCGGGGAGAGGGAGGTGCAAGTGCTCTGCCTAAGGGCTCTCAACCCCAGGGCAGGTAAGTTCTCATTTGAATGAGATTCTGTGCAAATGCGTCAGCCCCTCTTATGGAAGAAGCTGGTGCACAGAGAAGACCCTCTGTCTTCTTGTCCTCCCCATGCCATGTGAACAGGATGACTAATGTCTGCTCTCCCCTTAGGCTCCTGCTCAAACCTTTTTCTCTGCAGTCTTGGACCTTGGGGCCTCTTCCTCTCTAGGGGCAGGACAGAGCTTCAAAGGGCCACACCCCCAAATGTGTGGAGGTAAGATCTGGCTCCTCAAACACTACTTCAGTTGAAAAGAAGGGGGAACTGCCCACCCTCCATGCCTGCCCACGAGAACAACTGATGGCCCCCCACCCATGCGCTCTCTCAAACTCCTTTGGAGACACTGAGCAGAAGTACCTTCTTTGGTACTCTTTGTAAAGTGCAAAACGGTATGCAGTTTGGTACTGCCCACAATGGAGGTTGAGGAGCATGGCATGGTTCAGTCAAAGGGTGCTTTGATATTTGACAGAGGAAATAGGGGCCCCCATTTGCACTGAGCTAAAACTTTGGTCTCCTGGCTTCCAGGTACACCAGGTTGACCTGTCCAGGATCCAGCCTGGCATAAACTCACTTTGTGACCTTGGACCAAACCACCCAGCCTCTCTGGAAGGTGTGGAAAAATGTGGCCCCAAAGGCTGAATAAAGCCAGCGAGTCAGGGACCTTGAATGCGTGTGAAGGGGCTAGACTTGATTCTGTAGGTGAAGCTAAACCACTGAAGGTTTTTCAGCAGTGTGTGAGCCAGTTCCCCATCTGGGATCCTTCTGGAAGTCATGTGAGTGACAGATTACAGAGAAAAAGAATCAGAGGCAGGGAGACCAGCTGAGAAAGCTTGCCTTGGCCCAGGAGAGACGGGGAAGGCCTGCACTGGGATGATGACACAGAAAGGAGAGCGCAGAAGTCAGACCGTGGGTCAGCACTAGCTGCTGCTCACTCAGCCCCACCCAGTTCTTGTGTCAAGACAAAAAGAAAACCCAGGTGCCCTCACTGGCCCCCCAAGCAGCTCCATACCTTGATTCCTGGGAATGTGATGGCAGAAGAAGCATAAGAGCCAATCATGAGGGCCATTAACGTGGAGCGCAGATTCCCAAACATGTTGGGCAACTGAGGGGGGAAAGCAGCACCCATGAGGTGGGGACACCCTGACCCTCGCCCAGCGTTCCCAGCCCTGCTCCATACAACAGCCCCGGGAGACGCAGCAGCAAAGCCCCAAGGCAAAACAAACAGAAAAATCAATGTGGGAAACTGTACTCTGCCCCCTGCCTACACACTCACAGTGCACTTTAGCTTCAAAAAGGCTCCCAGACACCCCTCAGAGAGATATTTTGTTAATTTTGTTTAATCCCAGATTTCCCAAGTTTGTTACGTAACACCTCTGAACAACGCATGGAATAGGTGCTTAAGAAACACTGATCTGGGCTGGGCGCAGTGGCTCACGCTGTAATCCCAGCACTTTGGGAAGCTGGCGGGAAGCCTGAGGTCAGGAGTTCAAGATCAGCCTGGACAACATGGTGAAACCTCATCTCTACCAAAAATACAAAAATTAGCTGGGCATGGTGGCAGGCGCCTGTAATCCCAGCTACTCGGGAGGCTAAGGCAGGAGAATCGCTTGAACCTGGGAGGTGGAGGTTGCAGTGAGCTGAGATCTCTCCACTGCCCTCTAGCCTGGGTGACACAGGGACACTATGTCCCCACCCACCAAAAAAAAAAGAAAATAAAAGAAAGAAACAGTGATCTTATCCAACCCATTTTAGATGAGAAAATTGACACCCAGGGAGGAAAAGTGTACTCAAGTTCAGAGAGCACATTAATGGCTTTCTCCCCATTGTTAGACTGTCCCAGCCCTAACCCAAGGCTGTGACCATGGCTGTGTCCGGGTAATAGGCGGTGCCTCTTAACCCTCTCGGTTGGCATCCCAGCCCAGTTTCTGCTTAATCAGGACAAATCACGTCCTGGGAGGTGAGGGTGGAAATAAGGGAGGGAACGGAGGCAGGGCAGACCAAGTCTCCAGAGGAGGTGGCTCTGACGCACAGCAGGGTCAGAATCCCACCAGGAGAGAATTTAATTGATCATGTGTTCCGCTCACCTGCCTCAGCCAAGCCCTCAGGGCAGGGGAAGGCAAAGTCAGGATGCCCTTCCCACCCACCCTCCTCTGGCCCCACCATCCTCCCCGAGTCACTAGATTCCACAGCTGAGAAGGACCTTAGGATCCGTACAAAGCCCAAACCCTCTCCACAGAGAGGGAAACTGAGACTCTGAAGGGAGGCCTCAATAGCTCTGGTAAAGAAGGCGTTTAGGCCGGGCACGGGAGCTCACGTCTGTAATCCCAGCACTTTGGGAGGCCGAGGCAGGTGGATTACCTGAGCTCAGGAGTTCTCAACCAGCCTGAGCAACACAGTGAAACCCCGTCTCTACTAAAATACAAAAAAATTAGCCAGGCGTGGCGGTGTACGCCTGTAGTCCCAGCTACTCGGGAGGCTGAGGCAGGAGAATTGCTTGAACCTGGGAGGCGGAGGTTGCAGTGAGCCGAGATCGCGCCACAGAACTCAAGCCTGGGCGACACAGCAAGAGTGCGTCTCAAAAAAACAAACGAACAAACCAAAAACAGTGTTTAAACACAGAAGATAACTAAATTCTCCTTCCCCCTCCCACCGAAGTGGCTGGCTCAGGAAAAACCTCTACCCACTCAGGCAGAGGTTTTCCTGCACCCTGCATCTGTGAGGCACCGCTGCCAAGGACGCCAGGGAAGGGTGCCAGGCCTGGAGAGGGCAGGGCCCTCTCCCCTCCAAGGGGCCACAAACGCTGTCTCCGCCCGGTACCGTGGGTAGAGCGAGGCTGGCCGGATAACCCCGGGCTGGCGGCCTTGCAGCGCGCGTGGCAACAGCAGCTGGGCCCGCAGGACGCAGCACCGGACGTGCGGGTCCAAGTCTAGGCCAAGCGCAGCGGCCCAGGGGGCGGGGCCGGCCGGAGGGAGCGGGGAGAGGCTGAGGGGCGGCGCCGGCGCCGGACCCTGCCATTGGCTAGAGGTTACAGGAGGCGGGGATATAGCGGGGAGGAGCCGCTGGTCAAGCCCCACCGGGCAGCCACGGAGGGTCTGAGGCCAAGCCCCGGAGAGAAGGGATTTAGGGCCCTGGGCCAAGTTGCACAGCAGGGAGAAGGGGCTGCGCTGAGGGGCGGGGAGAAAGGGATCAGCTTCCTTCCTTGAGAGTTGTGAAATGCTCCCGGTTGGAATTAAAGGCGGCTGCTGGGGCGAGGTGAAATTCAGCCAAAACCACCCAGTCAGGCAGCCCTTCTCAGAGAGAAACAGTCCGAGCCAGCCCGGCCGGGAACCTTCCCCTCCACCCTCCCGACACTCCTAAGCCTTTAACGCGTGTACATACTCACATAAATAAACACACTTAGAACACCACACATACACAACTCACCATATGTAATAATAGGTCAAGCCACGTGCACGATGAAGTGTCGACAGTTTCATATGGTTCAACCTGGTACACTCACAAACACACCTACCAACTCATGGCTTTTACAGGGACAGGGTCACACACCCACTCTCCCACGGCATGGCAAGCGTGCACACGCTGTCTCAAGCTGCTCCCTCCCCCTCACGATCATGTTACCCAGTTTTATTTTCTTCCCAGCACCTATGACTACTGACATAATTTATTAGTTTACTTGTTTATTCGGTTGTCTGTGCCCCTCATCCCCGAAAGGTAACCTCCAGCGGGGAGGATGATGTGGTCAGTCCTGACAGTGCTGTAATCCAGGACCTAGAACAGAGCTCCGTAGACATTCATGGGCTCTGTACACACAAACACACACATTAACATACAGCCTGACACACAGCCTCATCCATACACACACACAGCCTCATCCACACACGCACAGCCTCATCCACACGTACAGCCTCATCCACACACGCACAGCCTCATCCACACACACAGCCTCATCCACACACGCACAGCCTCATCCACACACACTGCAACCTCATCCACACACACACAGCCTCACTCCACACCTGCTGGCCTCATCCACACACGCTCATCCCACACACAGCCTCATCCACACACGCACAGCCTCATCCACACTGGCTCTTCCACGCACAGAGCCTCATCCACACACGCACAGCCTCATCCACACACGCACAGCCTCACACCTGCCCTTTGCAGCCACTCTGCAGTTTCTCCACACACGCACTTGATCTAGTGATCTGCGTCCACAGGCCCCTCCCCCAGACCACTCACTCTGCCCTCACCCCACTCGGGAGAATTCTGCGGCCAGGCCAGGCCTGTAACACTCACCGTGAGTGAAGTGAACGTTAGGCAGATGCCACCAAAGCCATTCAGGGACAGCGCCAGGAATATCAACGGAGACAGAACTGGAAAGGGGAAAGCGGCAGATGAGGGCATTTGGGGAGCTGCGGGAAGCCAAGGGCAGGAGCTGGGGTGAACATCCACCTTCATCCCACCCATTCTGTTCTTGTGGAGCCACAAGAGGACAGACAGCTCACCTTCCACGTCCCGGGAGGCCAGGGCCATGAGGGTGCAGGACGCAGCGAAGCAGGCACTGTGGAGACACAGGGAAGGGCAAGGGGTTGGCCTGTGAGCACCTCCCCTCCCCTTCCCCTGCAGCATGGTCTCTGTCCTCCAGTTCCCCATAGCCCAGCCACCTCACCTGCCAACCAGCCGCACGGGTCGGGGGCCAAAGCGGTCCATGAGGATCCCCAGTGGCAGGGTGGTGGCACTGAGCACAAAGGAACCGATGGTGAAGCCCAGGTTGAGCATCTCGTCCTGCCGGTCACAGCCCGGCCACCTGCGCTGCTCATCCTGGGTGCTGTTGGTGCTGTTCTCAGCTGAGGAGGGGAAAGGGAGGGCTCAGCACATGACAACAGGAACAGCTGGGCACAGGAGACAGCAGCCTGCAGTCAGGGGACCTGCTTTCAAATCCCATGCCAGGTGCCTTTAGAGGTACCCTAGAGTCACATCTCCTCTGACGGGGCTGCTCCAGAAATGGCAGCAGTTAGTACCTGACCCTGGGAGAGTCTTGCACACACACGGCCTGAGGCTTCAACTAGCTCAAATGAAATACTGGACATAAAAGTATTTACCAAGTTGTAATATGCACTTAGTGTCCAAGCTAAGGGGGTTGTGGACCCCCAACAAGAAGTGCCCCCATATCTAGAGGCAAAGGCAAAGGCAGTGAGTGGTGTTCTCATGGCTATAACAAGAATTCATTAAAATGGCCAGGCGCGATAGTGCATGCCTGTAATCCCACCACTCTGGGAGGCTGAGACAGGCAGATCGCTGGAGCCTACAAGTTTGAGACCAGCCTGGACAACACAGTAAAACCCCATCTCTAAATAAAAAAAAATAAAAGACATTTAGAAAGAATTCACTAAAACTTAGAGGACGCTTTCCCAATAAAGGATAGTCTGAAAAATAATTACTAATACTTACTGAGCACTTAACTGTGTTCCAGGCACTGTTCTAAACATAACAGCCCCATGAGTCAGTTAATACAGTATCCCATTCCCCAGGTGATGAAGCTGAGGTACAGAACGAGGACCAGTCACTGCCCTCCAGTCCCCTCTAAAAGTCCACCTGGAGGACTTGTCCTTAACGGTAAACCGCCAACTCGGAGTTGTGACAAGTTAAGGAGAAAAGCTAGTGATAGGAGATAAAGGGTTGCTTCGCTTTACTCAGTGCTCAGTGAGTCATGAGGTGGCTGCCCCTAGGCCTCCAATTTGTCACTTGGCAGCATTGCCAAGGGCAAACTCTGGGTACACCTGGGGCAGGCAGACAGACCAGGGTCTGAATTCCCACCACCAGCCTTACTAGCTGTGCCCCTTGACCAAGTAACTTCCTCCTTGTCTGTAAACTGGACCAAAGAATGCCTAACCCATGACCTGCTTAGGAGGATTCAACTGGAGACAGTAAACAAAGAGCTTTGCACAGTGCCTGGTCCAGAAAAAGTGCTCCTGAAGGATCTGACAAAGGGGTAGCTGACCCTCCTAGTGGGTCATGTGGTAAGCACGTACTCTAGGAGCTGGGCATCCACACTGCATGAGACAGGAAGTTCTCAGCTCTAGAGTGACAGGTGCTGCTAAAAGAACAAACCAGGCCAGGTGCAGCAGCTCACACCTGTAATCCCAGGACTTTGGGAGGCCAAGGTGGGTGCATCTCTTGAGCCCAGGAGTTCAAGACCAGCCTGAACAACACTGGGAAACCTTGTCTTTACAAAACGTATTTTAAAAATTAGCCGAGCATGGTGATGCGTGTCTGTAGTTCCAGCTACCCGGGAGGCTGAGGTGGGAGGATTGCTTGAGCCCGGGAGGTCAAGGCTGCAATGAGCCGTGATCACACCATTGCACTCCAGCCTGGGTGACAGAGCAAGGCCTTGTCTCAAAAAAAAAAAAAAAAAGAAAGAAAGAAAGAAAGAAAAAGAAAACAAACAAAAAAATCAACAAGGGGAAAAGGGGATGTGATAATGCCTGGATACTAGGGGGTGGTAGAGAACATCTGCCCTCAGTGGTGAAAACAACCCGACTTTACGTATCCAAAGGGTGTGCAGGCGGCAGAAGAGTAAGGGTAAAGGGATCTGTGTGTTAACATAAGGAAGAACACAAAGGCCTGGCAGATCCTGAGTGCTGACCAACCAGGGAAGGAACTGTCCTGGGCAACAAAGAGTCTTCTTTAGTACCAGCTGCCAAGGAGGTGGGGAAAGTGCTCAGACACCTCCAGGAAGCACTTAGGGGGTTGGACTACACAGCCTTTGGGTATCAGGCTAGCCCTATAATTTAGTGATCTTTGTGATCACTGTTCATTTCTCTACAGGTGTTGTTTTTTTTTTTTTGAGACAGAGTCTCACTCTGTCACCCAGACTGGAGTGCAATGGTGCAATTACGGCTCACTGCACCTTTGACTTCCAAGCTCACTGTAGCCTTGACCTCCCGAGCTCAAGTGATACCCCCACCTCAGCCTCCTGAGTAGGTGTGTCTACAGGTGCACGCCACCACATCTGGCTAGTTTTTGTATTTTTTCCAGAGACGGGGTTTCGACATGTTGTCCAGGCTGGTCTCGAACTCCGGGGCCCAAGTGATCTGCCTGCCTGGGCCTCCCAAAGTGCTGGGATTAGAGACATGAGCAACTGTGCCTGGCCTCTCTACAGGTTTATCTGCATTGGTTTATTCATTCTACACCCACTTACTAGATATTTACTATACACCAGTACTGTGTTGGGACAATGTGTAAAGCAAGAAGAAATGCAAAAATGATTTAGACCAGAAGCTGCACACCGGTGACAAGAAATGGCCCCCACTCATGTTTTGCTTGGTTGGCAATGTTGATCCATCCTTATAGTGTTGTAAATTATAATTGGGTGCCAGTTTAAATTCAGGAGTTATCACATAAAAATCCAGATTTTTGGCTTCTCTTTAAAAAGTCAGAAGATCTGGGCATGACTGTAGCTGAGTGGAGGCCATCCTTTTTGCCAGGGCTTGCCTTCTCAAGGTCATACACATCCTCACCTCTCTTTTAATTCTCATACATTTGCTGTCCTACACCTACCCTGCTTTACCCAATTATTATGCCTGGCCCCAACTGGCATTTCCATTTGCAGTCCCTGAATTAGACACTGTTCCTGCTCCTAAGTGTTTGATAATCAAATGACAATTTCCCTCACAAACAATCCCATTAGCATGCAAATTCACACCTACTTTGTGCTAGTATTTTCTATAGAGAATCCCATTTAAACCTTGCAACAACCCTAAAAGGTGAGTACAATGGTCCCCATTTTATAAATGGTAAAAGATCCAAGATGCAAAGCAATTCAGTTACCCAGCTTTTAACAGGCAGGCTCAGATTCAAACTCAAGATAATCTCCAAAGTCAACAGTTTTCCACTGCACCAAAGGGCCTCTGTGTTACATGGGCCAGTTTGCTTAGTAAGTTTCTCAAGCACGTGTCAGTGCCAGAAAGGACATGTGCTCTTCCACTAAAGGAGAATCCAGTCCCATGAACTGCTAATGACTTAGTGTCAATTCATACATTCATTCCTGTTTTATGGATCAGCCTTTTATGAGTTTCACCAATGAGTTCATTCATAAGGCTTGATCACTCTGAGTAGTTGGATAAAATCCAGATTCTGAACTAAGAGGGGAGCCAGCCCAAGATGCCAAGACCTTAGAGCTGTGTCCATGTTAATGACAACAGAAAAGGTCTTCGGCGGGGCCGGGCGTGGTGGCTCACGCCTGTAATCCCAGCACTTTGGGAGGCCGAGGCAGGCGGATCACAAGGTCAGGAGATCGAGACCATCCTGGCTAACACGGTGAAACCCTACCTCTACTAAAAAAATACAAAAAAAAAAATTAGCTGGACGTGGCGGCGGGCACCTGTAGTCCCAGCTACTCGGGAGGCTGAGGCAGGAGAATGGTGTAAACCCGGGAGGCGGAGCTTACAATGAGCTGAGATCACACCACTGCACTCCAGCCTGGGTGACAGAGTGAGACCTCCATCTCAAAAAAAAAAACAAAAGGTCTTTGGCATCAACCCCCCACCCCAACATTTACAGACAAATAAAGCAAAGCATAGGATGGGATTCGAAGCCAGGGAAAGCAGTGTTTCCTAATATGTGGTATGCACAGCATGTAGGCACTCAAGATGGGTTCAGGAAGTAACATGGAGCAGTTTTTGAGGTTTCATAGTTAATTGTTATTTGAATGTTTATTTAAAACATACATTGGCCAGGTGCAGTGGCTCACACCTGTAATCCCAGCACTTTGGGAAGCCAAGGCAAGTGGATCACTTGAGATCAGGAGTTCAAGACCCACCTGGCCAACATGGTGAAACCGTCTCTACTAAAAATATAAAAATTAGCCAGGTGTGATGGTGGGTGCTTGTAATCCCAGCTACTCCAGAGGCTGAGGCAGGAGAATCACTTGAACCTGCGAGGCAGAGGTTCCAGTGAGCTGAGATCACACCACTGTACTCCAGCCTGGGCTACAGAGAGAGACTCCATCTAAAAAAACTAACTAACAAAGAAAATAAAATAAAATAACAAAATAACATAAAATAAATAAAATAACATAAAAAATAAAATAACAAAATAAAATAAAAAACGATGTATATATGTACATATATATGTATGAGAAACATATATGTATATGTATAACTTGTGGGGGTGGGTAACAGCTAACTCAATATTCCAAGAATATTACACTTTAGAATGAAGCTATTTTTTTTAAGTAGACTGATTCAAAAGGAATTATTAGTAAATAACAGTAGCTATGGCACATAGAAATGGTAAAATCATGAAGGTGAACTGCAAATGACTAGGTCTAGGAAACAATGGAAAATGGGATGGTTGTGAAGCATCTGGAGTCTGGAAGAGCTGGGTTCAAATTCTAATTCCACTAGCTGTGCTGCAGAAACTCTCTGAGGCTCCATTATCTCATCTGGGAAATGGGGACAGTGGTCTCAACCACCTGAGAGGCTGGCTCTGAGAACTGTCACACATACACGCACAGCCAACACTCACAAAATGATCCCATTTTCTTTGTCTCCCTGCTTACCGTTCCTTTCCTAACCCCATGATGCTTCCCTTTCCTGCCTCAGACATGGTCGCATTCAGCAAAAACACCTTAGGGGTTGGGTGTGGTGGTTCATGCCTACAATCCCAGCACTTTGGGAGGCCGAGACAGGAGGATCACTTGAGTCCAAGAGTTTGAGACTAACCCTGGCAGCATAGTGAGACCCCATCTATACAAAAAATAAAAACATTAGCTGAGCATAGTGGTGCACACCTGTAGTCCCTGCTACTCCATAGGCTGAGGTGGGAGGATCACTTGAACCTGGGA